TTCAGACAGGTGTGCAGAGAACCAGAAGAAAGTGCGAGAGAACGAAATGGAGAGAGGAAGACGGAGACAAAAGCACTCTGAGTGTGAGATAAAGTCTGATAATGCAGATTGAATGTCTGGAGTGGAGAGGCTCTTAATGAATCGTGATTGACAGTCACTTTGAGATCCCCGCTCGGTTCCCAGGACACTCGGTTCCCGTCCATAGCGACCGCTATAGAGCTCCTCTCAGACATTCATCTTGTCTTCTCTGTTTGTCCGGGTAAAGAAACACATTGTAGACCTGCTCTCGTCCTGTCTTTATTTATCTTTCTCTCTCTTTCGCTGCCTGGTTCTCCTCACTTGATCCCAAAAGTCCATTACCAAGCTGTGCTCAGAATTATAAAGGTCTTCAGCTAAAGCAACAAACTAAGTAAATAACTTTAAAAAGTTATTAGTTAACTGGCAATGCTGAAAAAAATTCGCTTTTATTTTGGATTTATTTTCAGCTTTCATTTTAATCTTAGAGTCAGTTTAGTAATTTTGTTATATGCTTTTGGTTTAGTTTTTTTATATATTTCTATTTATTTTTATTTTGTTTCAGTTTTATTTATTTTTACTACCACTTTTACTTCATGTCTATTTCTAAGCATTTAATTTAAAATATTTTCTTAGAATATTAATTATTTTTGCTTCATCTCAAACAATTTTTAATTTAATTTTAGTTAACAATGACAGCGCTGGGTTGAACCGTGTAAAATGTCTAGTTTTAGATGGGAAATGCTGGTTTTTACTTCCACAAGCAGGTTAAATTGGCTGTTGTTAACTTTAATATCTCATGTTTCTCCTATAGATTAGGGGATTTTAATCTTAATTCTTCTGTATCTCAGTATAAAGACCCCAGTTATCTTGTGTTTCATACAAGATCTCAATAACGTCTCGAAGATTTGCCAACGTCTGCAATCCAAAGTCTAGATCTCAAAATGAACTGGAATATTTCTCATCAAATTCTATCTAGAAACGTTTTTTTATTTTGAGCAATATTTTTTGCATTAACCCTCTGATGCTCTTCGTTTGATGGTCAAAAACTACAGAATTTGAAATGATTGTACTATATTTTAGTCCAATAATGTTTTTTATTTAATATTTTGTATTTTTAGAGGATTTATGGTACTAATTTTTATTTATGCAGGAGTTATAATCCATTTATTCACTTTTTGAGCATAGACCTGAAAACGAAATTTCCAGATGAATCTGTCATAAATCTTGAATGCTTTGAAGAATTCAGTTTGATCTCTTTTTAAAGACAACACGTGGCAGATTATTGCTGAAGTGAAGCAATACATTTTTTTTAAAAACTGAACTTGAAAAGAGTTATAAAATTTACAAAGATTTAATGTTATGAAAAATGCGCACAACAAATAAATTTAAATTTATTTTCCAAAACATGTTTTACTCTAAAACTGTGAGAAAATCAAAGCCATAAATCTAAACAATCTGTGTTCCACATTTGAGGTCATTATCTCAAAAAATGAGCTTTCAGTGAGATTGTGTTTGGCCACAGTATATGGAGTTAATATTGTGCCATAATTAAACAAACAAATCCAGCATTTCGAAACTCGACTCGCAAACAAACAGAAAGCATAGTGCAAGTACAAAGGTCAATTTACACATATGTGTTTTGCAAATATAAATAAATGAGCCTAGATAATATTTCACAAATAAATACAAACCTACAAATTGCATGTAACCTTTGAACAAATACCAAATCTAGTGCATACAAATGCATATCTGTCTGTTATGATTGTGAGACACTTGGCTTTTTATGAGATCTCTCGGCTCGATTTTCTCACAAATGTGTCCAGTTTTCCTTTGCAAAGCAGATCAAGTTTGTTAGCAAAATGCTGGATTTGTTTGTTTAATTATGGCACAATATTAACTCCATAGCAGTACCAAAAGCTTCCACTAGATGAAATCCGTTTCCCATTAATTTCCAATACATGTGTGACTATTTTTTTCAGGACCATTTAATCTTTTTGAATCATGCCCATGATTTGTTTTGTGTTCACACAGCAAGTGTCAAAATCTTCAGCACAAGAGGATTAAAAGTGCCCAAACCACACCTTACACTGGTAACCAGTGCTAAGACTAAGTTTAAGCACCAGCTGGACTAGGTTATCTGGTCTAGACTGCAGGGATAAAACCTAATTTTGCTGCATATGTGCAGTAGTCTTTATCAGAGCCAATGAGATGTTCCCCAAAGTAAATGGCTATAAGTGGGAGGGGCTTAGCGAACAGGAAGTGATGCGGATGAGAGCCACAACGCACAGATGGTCCCAGTGACTCAGCCGGCGTGACGTCCAAAAAGCTTAACGCAAAACCCACAACCACATGTGATGCTCAGTGGGTTGTATATGCCAATGATTGTCTGGATGATTTTCAATTGTCTGTGTTCCCGTGTCTCTCTCATGTGTTTTCCTGAGCTATTTACATGGTGTGATTATGTCAAGGTTGTCCGTGTGGGAGAATAGCACTGGCTTTGGCCCGCTGTAAGTCTTTGTGTGTCTCTAGTACTGCTCACCCGGGCATGAAGGTCCCAGCTGTATAGGAAGAGACACAGGGAGTCCTTCACTAACCGGGCCGGCTGCCCACAAACACTTGACACTGGTGCGCTGAGAGCCTAGAAACAGCTTTAATGAGTGTGTGAATGTGCACGTGAGTGGATGTTTGGAGGTGTGTGAGGAACATTTGTAGTCATTTACAGTGTATTTTCGCTGCTGAGGAATCAGTTTTATCACCATTTAATCAATAATCCAGCTTAATTTTCTTCAACAAATAGACTGAGTCACTTTGGGATAGTTCAGCCAAAAATTAAAATGATGAAAAATGCTGGCGCTTGACTGGCAACTTCAAGTTAAAGTGATAGTTCACCCAAAAATGAAAAATTTGTCATCATTTACTCACCCTCATGTTGTTCCAAACCTGTATGAATTTCTTTCTTCTGTTAAACACAAAATATGATATTTTGAAGAATGACAGTTTTTGGTCCCCATTGACTTCCATAGTATTTTTCCCCGTATTGTGAAAGTCAATGTGGACCAGAAACTGTTTGGTTAAACGATTTTAAATGCATGACGTTGAGGCAAAGAACAGCCAGACATGAAGCGGAGTGCATTAAAATTGTTTAAAGGGGTCATATAATGCCATTTTTGTACAAGCTAATATGATTCTTTAGGGTCTAAATTAAAAGTTTGTAATATACTTTAATTAAAAATTCTCATTAGTATTGTAAGAAAACACTTATTTTACCTGGTCAAAAACAGCTCTGTTTTCAGCACGCCGTTTCAGTGCATATGACTTTAAATGATAATGAGCTTTGCTGACTCCGCCTCTCTGTTCTGTGCATACACCGTAACTCAATAACACAATAACCATAACGCGTTGTTCAGTATAAACGTGGAATTATGAATTATATTGAGAACGTCATACATAGAAAACATGCCGTAATGTACCCTGACTGAGTGTAAACCTTAGACGCATTCATTGTGAAGCGTGCAGCAAGCGATTTGCAAAGATTAATATATTAATATAAAGTTTAATAAAACGTTTCACTCACTTCCGTTCTTCTGGAGGTTCAGCAGGAACACGAATATCTGGTACCGATCCTTTTTAGCAAAGCTTCTTAGCAAATCCAGCTTTATTGACCCTCGTTTATAAAGCAGTCTGGTGTGTGAAATGATTCGCGCAAACATGAGAGCCTTGACGTTGCTCGTGGGGAATATTCCCTTCGAAAACAAACTCAGCCACTGCGTCTTCAGCGGTTCGGATTTAGGAACATTAAAATGACTGTTCGTTATTACACCCAAGAACAGAACACCACAATCGCTTAGACGCCATTCTGCTCATAGACAGTGCTCCAGCATATCAACAATGAGCGCGCCGGTCCGCGCAGACTATGATTGACAGCTACCTCACGAGCGAGGGCGGGTCTGTGTTGAAACGCTCCCGTCAATCAACAATCGCGGGAGGGGCTTCCGTTTTATTGACGTCACAAAAACGAACGGCTCAATTTGAGGCAGGGGAAAACATATAAGGAGATTAAAACAAAACCACTGGATGGATTTTTATCATTATATGATGTTTGTGTACAGGCACTGCCAACACACATTTCAGTACAATCAACTTGTAAAAGTGCATGTACCATTATATGACCCCTTTAATGCACAGCTAACTGTAGATTATCCCACGTATATCATGGTCATTTGCCAGTATTGATAATTTAAAGTCTCCCTGTAGTCAATCATTTTATCCCTTAAAACTCATCTTTGATCTCCAAAATTATTGGTGATATTTAAGCGTTTTTTCCTTGAAAACAAATTATTCATGCCTTAAAATATCTTGAATGTAACTCGACACCCTTGCCTCATTTAGTGTACGCGGTTCTATGAATATGCAAATGAGCCCCGCCTCCACTCACTCACTCAGCTCAGAGATCCACTGGTTGACGATCACACGTTGATCTGATTGGTTACAAGGTCGTTTGTGACGTCAGAAACACCAGCGATTTCAAACCGTGTTTTTGAGACTGTCTTTGGTTCACTGCAGTTTTAAGGAGAAAATACTCAGCAATGCTGTCGACTTATGAATTTACACATGGTTTGTCTTAAAGCATATTAAAAACACCACATAGACATATAAACAACATTAAAAGCTTGATTTTCACCACAGGAGGATGTTTTATTTGGTGTTTATTAAGGCAAAGAATCACTTTTGACTTGAACTAGTGAGCAACCACCCATAACACTCACCATAACACCATATAGAAACATCACAACACTCAAAACACCTTACAGCAATGCAACACCCTGACAAGCAATGTGCTAAAACAACACCCCATCATGCACTGCATGCTTCAAAAATGTGCAAATCTTCTATACATCATTGTTTAATCTGTGTTTTTTATTTAATCTGAAATAGGTGACGCTTTAGTTTTATTTTGACTATTGTCTCTCTGTGTCTCTCAGATCCAGACTACACCGTTGTCCTAAACTCATCTGTGAACGCAAAGTTCTTCGGCGACCCGACGGAGCTGGAATGCAAAGTTACAAACGTGTCCAATCTTCGCAGCGGACGACTGGGAGTGTCGTGGCTTTACAGAGACGCTGTTCCCGGTGTCGTTCCAGTGTCTACTCACACCATCGCGTCATTGGATGAGAACGGGACCCTCGTGCCAGGCAAGACGTACAAGAATCGCATGGAGGCGGGGCTTATTACAGCGACCAGGGCGGAGCCTTCCACATTTAAGCTCCGCCTCCTTCACACGACGGACGCCGACGCTGGAGAATATACGTGTGGCGTAACGGCGTGGATCCCGACTCGTCATGGGAACTGGAAAAAGGTTGTGGAGCATTTGACCCCAGCGCTTAAAGTCAGCTTTGCTAACAAGCGTAAGTGTGCATGCATTTAAACGCTTATGTAATCTTATAAGGGTTTTGCAAACTAAACACGTGTTTAGTTAGCTCTGCCTCTGTATTTAAAATATCAAGGTAACACTTTACAATAAGGTTCATTCATTCATTCATAACTAACATGAACTAACAATAAGCAATACATTTGTTTCAGTATTTATTAATCTTTGTTAATGTTAGTTAATAAAAATACAGCTGTTCATTGTTTGTTCATGTTAGTTCAGGGTGCATTAACTAATGTTAACAAATACAACCTTTGATTTAAATAATGTATTAGTAAATGTTGAAATTAACATTACTAAGATTAATAAATGCTGAAGAAGTATTGTTCATTCTTAGTTCAGGTTAACTCCTTAACTGTCACCATCCGGTATACGGGAGATCTAACTTTACTTCGCTATATTACTATTAAATCCTAATCTAATTATGACAAACTATATATCGTTGGAAAGGTCTAAGACTGCTAAATAGATATTTGACTGCTGTTTTTTGCTACAAATTATGTAGGAAGAGTCACAAAAAGTTGACGCACACACCTTTAATAATTGAAACTTTGGTTTTCATGCTAAAAGTTCATAATAAAACATATAATCTAGTATTTTTCAATAAAAAATTATAATATAATATTATCCTCTAAAAAGTATAATATATATATATATATATGTTATCCTCTAAAATATAACATTATCTTTTTTTATCGCCTTTTTTTATTATATTACATATTTTAGTAGTTATCATAAATTAGGTATCATTTGAAAGCTTACAAACTCAGAATTCATCCTCTGAAAACCGTTTTGAAATTGAACGTTGCGTTACCATAGAAACGGTACTCTAAAACATTTAATCAGGCTCCGCCCCTTTTGGGCATCATTATATTTCCTAATTTATGATCAAAACCTATTCTAATCTTGACAAAACACATATTGTCAGAAAGGTCTGAGTCTCAAGGTTCCAAATTTTGTGACAGAATTGATATTTGGACAGAAATTTATTAATTTGTTAAGGCAGAATGTATACAACTAAATTCAATGGAATGTATGTCACCCGGTGGCTATTTCTGGTACTACGCCTAAACAAAATCTCATGGGAACTTCAATTTTTGTGATATCAACTTCAAATTTGGAACATAACTTGGTTAGATATATGGCTTTGATTTTATAGTAATTTTAGAGTAAAAAATATTTTGTAAAATATATATTTTATATAAAATAAAAAATATATAGTACAGTATATTTGATTTTGCTGTCAATTTAAACTTCCATAACTTTTTCATACTTTCATTTTTTGAAGTGTTTTCACTTCAGCAATAATCTGCTGAGTGTTTCCTTTAAAACAAGACCAAACTTAGGTCTGTATTCCAAAGCATTCTTGAATTACAATCATTTAAGTTTGAATAGTGCATTTTAACCCCCATTCTCAAAAAGGGGGGTGATAGCTAAGGGGTTAATTAAGGTAGTTAACTAATGTAAACTAATGAACCTTATTGTAAAGTGTTATATCAAACATATAAGGTGTCTAGTTTGCCTCAGACACCTGTGATATCGCAGCTCAAATGTTCACGTTTCTATTCTGGTCTGACATATGACATCTCAGCTCATTGATTTCCTGCATCATTTCTATAATTACCTGAACGCAATACATATATGCATGGAAGCATTTGCACCGGTTGACTTCAAGCAGCAACGTCTTCTGTAATGGAGAATTCAGTTTCACGAGGAGGTACAAATGATGCCGTGTGTGTTATATTGTGATGTGTTTTGTGAGCTGCTGGACTGATGCACTTCTCCACAGGGTGCAGTTTACTCTGACATGCTGTACGGTTATGTTCAAAACTGTTGCAATTGCAGCTTTAATGACCTCTAAGAACATTTGGCATAATTTTGCCATTATCTAATATTGTCCCTCCTATATTGGGACACTTTTTCATATTCCTAGAGACTTGGCAATAAATTGTCTTATGTAACACAAGACCAATAACTTTCTTTCACAGAGAAGACATGGTTCGGTATCGCTGTGTAAATGCATTCAGAGCTCAGAGGTTCCAGCTCTCTGTTTCAAGTTTCAAGTTTGTCTCAGATGTTTCTCCTTCAATGCATTAGGAGAAATAAACAGAGCCAACTGAGGTCTGAATACATGCTTGTGGCTCAAAGTGCTTTTACAAAGAATAATAATAATGATAATATTAATCATTTATATTATTATTATTATATAAATAATAATAATACAATTAGTATTATGATTTATTTTAAGATTTATTATATTTATATTATCATAATTGTAATATAAATAATAATAATAATTATTCATAATAATGTTAATGTTATTATTATTTGTAAAATACGTATTATTAGTTATATTATTACTATTAATAATAATCACTTCATTTATTATAATAATATATAATAATAATAATAATAATATACATATTTATTATTATAATATAAATAATAATCATATTATTTAAATATGTATTATTATTTATATGATAATAATATACATATGTATTATTATAATTATAATATAAATAATAATCACATTATTTAAATATGTATTATTATTTATATTATTATTATTATTATATAAATAATAATCACATAATCAATAATAATAATAATATGATGATTAGTATTTATTTCAATTATTATTATTAGTATTATTATTATAAATAATAAACATATAATTAATAATAACAATAAGTTGCATTATTATGTTAATATTATTATTATGTTTATGTTATTATTATTTAAATATTTATTATTGTTTATATTATTATATAAATAACGATAGTCACATCATTAATAATAATCATGATATATATTTATTTATTATAATTATAATAGAAATAATAATCATATCATTAATATTATTATTATTTAGTAAAAAATATGTATTTTAATTTTATTACGCTTGGTGTATCATTTGCATTGCATTGATTGTTAATATTTAGTGTTAAGCAATATGGATAGCAGCTCAGCACGTTTGAGTTCATATTGAGATTTTTGCATCTAAGCGAATATGAACAGTGTACCTCATGTATAGACATTCAAATCTCCATGTGATCTCATTCCTCCCTTGGATGAAGATTATATTAATAATGAGATGTGTTTTGTTGGTCTGGCGCAGGTCCTGTTCTCGGGGTCGTAGCCCGTCGTCTCCGTGAAGCTACGGCCACTGGCTCCACCTTTGAGATGAGCTGCCAGGCCAATGTGCAAAACCTCCCGCCGGGAACCACGTTTTCCATCCTCGTCCTGTCCGAGGAGGCCGTCGGGTCTCCCAGCCGCAAGCTGGCCTCGCTGGGCCCGGAGACGGTCCTTCAGCTGGAGGACTGGGGCGAGCCGGGCCGGCGGGACGGCCTGATGCTGGTGAAGACCGGGAAGAGGGAGTTTCAGTTCCGGATCCAGGCGGTGCAGGAGACCGATCGCGGCTTCTACTCGTGCCAAATGAAAGCCTGGACGAAGCAGGCCGGGGAAGACTGGGTCGAGATGGCCAAAGGAGTGTCCAATAAGGTTCAGGTCGCTTTCGTACACAAAGGTAGAGAATTTGAATCTCAAGAAAACATGTCCGGTAGCACTTTACAATAAGCTCCCATAGTTAACATTAGTTCACTACATTAGGTAACATGAACAATACATCTGTGAATCATCTGTACATCATGAACAAGATAGGCTTATTCATGAAAACATGTCCAAATTACAGAAACACTTTACAATAAGGTTTCATTAGTTAACATTAGGTAACTACGTTAGCTAACATGAACAATACACAATACTTCTACATAGGCTTATTCATGAGAACATGTGCGAATTACGGAAATTAGGCAAGTTTATTTATATAGCACATTTCATACACTATGGCAATTTAAAGTCCTTTACACAGAAAGGAATTAACAGTACAGTTATAAAAGGAATTAAAAGAGTGAAATATGATACATTGATAAACTTCTCATCTGGCTAAACACCAGTGTATCATATTTTTCACAACTCCCAGTTTTACTCTGAGATTTCCCCATGGTGATCACACTGTGTCTAGTTAACATTAGTTACTTACGTTAGTTAAAAATGAACAATGCACAATACTTCTACATAGGGGTGCGTGATATATATATCGTCTGCAATAAGATCATAATTGTTGTTTTAACGATGTGCGATCTGACATTATCGAGTTTGTCCCTCACTTTACATAAACACACGAGAGCGCACACACACTACATGATGTTGTCTAGTAAGTTAGACTAGTGTGCTTTCACTGCGTGATTTACTCTATTAAAATGCATTTATATTGCCCTCATTATTCAAGATAAGGGGCAAAATTACGTCTGTATGTATTTTATATTTATATTTAATATGGTTAATCAATATCACATGAAAAGTGCTGTTTGTTTCCCCACCAAATATCAGCATAATTACAAATATGATATTGATTTTACTGTATACAACAGTTCAATAAACAAGACGTTAATATTAAGTGACTTACATTTTAGACACAATATTGCCTGTTTTTGCTTTATTTCGCCAACGTAAATAGTTCCAAACAAAAACCACAGGACTGTTGTGTCTCTGAGCGACACACGGCAGTGTTTCATCACTGAATGAACGAATCGGTTGAGTGAATGATTCAATGACTCACTCATTAAGACTCGTTCCTGAATGAATCAGCCGTTTGAATGAATCGGTCGAATCTCAATGACTCACTCATTAACAGTGACTTGCTGTTGGTTTTAATTTCATATTTAAACTATTTTTTTATTTATTTCAAATATCAATATTCAACATTTTATGTTTAAAACATCAAAACATTATTTCTGCATTTGTAACTGCAGGTTAAATGCATTAATGTCCCTCTGAGCTTCATTAAACAGTCTAATAAGGTCACACTTTAGAACAGGTTTCAATTCTCACTATTAACTATGACTTTTGCCTCAATAAACTCCTAATTACTGCTTATTAATAGTTCGTAAGGTAGTTGTTAAGTTAAGGGATGTAGAATATGGTCATGCAGAATAAGGCATTAATATATGCTTCATAAGTACTAATAATCAGCCAATATCATAGTAATATGCATGCTTATAAACAACATTATAGTTTATAGTTAGAACCGGACCCTAAACTAAAGTCTATTAGTTTATAAGTCTATAAACTAAGACATTTATAATGTTGCAAAAGATTCTATTCCAAATAAATGCTTATGTTTTTAACTTTCTATTCATCAAAGAATCTTAGAAATAAAAATGTATCAGTTTCCACAAAAATATGAAACTGTTTTCAACACTGATAATAATCATAAATGTTTCTTGATCATCATATTAGAGTGATTTCTGAAGGATCATGTGACACTGAAGACTGGAGTAATGATGCTGAAAATTCAGCTTTGATCACAGGAATAAATTACACTTTACTATATATTCACATAGAAAACAGTTATTTTTGTAATAATATGTCACAATATTACTGTATTTTTAATTCTATATATATATATATATATATATATAATGCTCAATATGCAGCATGCTTTAATATGTCAATCTTATAAGACTGGAATGATGCTATTTTTGTCCTGTTTTAAAGGTCCCACGTTTGATGTGTCCATCAGTTCAGACACCACGAGTGTTTTCCCCTGGGAAACTGCTAAGATGGTGTGTGACGTCAGTGTGAGCGGCACGTCTCCCAGTACAGGCGAGTGCACATACGCAACTGAACATAACACAACATAGATTAATGCTCACTATGAATTATTTTACACTGCAAGTGTAACATAAATCTCAGTTGAATTACTTTAAAGTGAAGAGTTTTAAGCATGAACTAAATCTTGTTAGATTCATGTTTTAAACATAAGAAAATAAACAAAATTCAATATATATCTAATGCAGTTTTGTTGCTCAATTAAATTGATCTTGTTTTGAAGATTTCGATATATTATAATTGGATAACAGCAGTGATTTTTGCAGGATAGTGCTATTTCTTTATCTAGCAAATATCTTTATAACAATACATTATTAAAGGCATATACACTCACCTAAAGGATTATTAGGAACACCTGTTCAATTTCTCATTAATGCAATTATCTAATCAACCAATCACATGGCAGTTGCTTCAATGCATTTAGGGGTGTGGTCCTGGTCAAGACAATCTCCTGAACTCCAAACTGAATGTCAGAATGGGAAAGAAAGGTGATTTAAGCAATTTTGAGCGTGGCATGGTTGTTGGTGCCAGACGGGCCGGTCTGAGTATTTCACAATCTGCTCAGTTACTGGGATTTTCACGCACAACCATTTCTAGGGTTTACAAAGAATGGTGTGAAAAGGGAAAAACATCCAGTATGCGGCAGTCCTGTGGGCGAAAATGCCTTGTTGATGCTAGAGGTCAGAGGAGAATGGGCCGACTGATTCAAGCTGATAGAAGAGCAACTTTGACTGAAATAACCACTCGTTACAACCAAGGTATGCAGCAAAGCATTTGTGAAGCCACAACACGCACAACCTTGAGGCGGATGGGCTACAACAGCAGAAGACTCCACCGGGTACCACTCATCTCCACTACAAATAGGAAAAAGAGGCTACAATTTGCAAGAGCTCAGCAAAATTGGACAGTTGAAGACTGGAAAAATGTTGCTTGGTCTGATGAGTCTCGATTTCTGTTGAGACATTCAGATGGTAGAGTCAGAATTTGCCGTAAACAGTATGAGAACATGGATCCATCATGCCTTGTTACCACTGTGCAGGCTGGTGGTGGTGGTGTAATGGTGTGGGGGATGTTTTCTTGGCACACTTTAGGCCCCTTAGTGCCAATTGGGCATCGTTTAAATGCCACGGCCTACCTGAGCATTGTTTCTGACCATGTCCATCCCTTTATGGCCACCATGTACCCATCCTCTGATGGCTACTTCCAGCAGGATAATGCACCATGTCACAAAGCTCAAATCATTTCAAATTGGTTTCTTGAACATGACAATGAGTTCACTGTACTAAAATGGCCCCCACAGTCACCAGATCTCAACCCAATAGAGCATCTTTGGGATGTGGTGGAACGGGAGCTTCGTGCCCTGGATGTGCATCCCACAAATCTCCATCAACTGCAAGATGCTATCCTATCAATATGGGCCAACATTTCTAAAGAATGCTTTCAGCACATTGTTGAATCAATGCCACGTAGAATTAAGGCAGTTCTGAAGGCGAAAGGCGGTCAAACACAGTATTAGTATGGTGTTCCTAATAATCCTTTAGGTGAGTGTATGGTTTCTCAGACCTTCAAAACTATGTTAAATTTTCACATTTTCTTCTACTGTGTATATATATATATCATTGACGTTTCAAGCATTTATTGATGGTAAACTATGGAAGCTTGATTCTGCCACGGAATAAAAAGTAAAAAAGCTAATTGCTACTTTTTATCTCACAGTTCTGACTTTATTTCTCGAAATTGTGAGAAATAAACTCGCAATTCTAGCTTTTTTCTCAGATTTGTCAGATATGCATAATCTCGCAGTTGCGAGTTCTGAATTGTAAGATTAAAACTTGCAATTACGTTTTTTATTCTTAAAATATAAAAGGAAGCATTACAGTAAAAACAGTAAATTGACAAGACATTACAGTAGTTTTCAAGTTAAAATCTATTCATCTCATGCCATATTCCAGCTATTTCTCCAAGCTTGGCTCATGCTGGCTGTTTAAACACACATTAAACACTATCAGCTTCAGCACAGCTGAGAAAGATCATGCAAACCCTGTTCCTGAGATGTTCCACACACACACACCGGCCAAAACCAGCAGCTTCACAGCGAGAGCCCGATGAAGTTTCTGCAGATGTGCTTGTGTTTGCATGTGGCATTTGGATCTTTGTCCCAAAAACAAACACTAGAAATGAGAAACTAGACCGTTCAAACCGGTTTGTTGACATCGAGCAGGAGTTTCTACAACACAATCCTCACTTTATTCTGTTTTATTCACAAACCCTAAAGATCAAGCGCTTTTGAGTCATATGACACGCGTACTTACTGTACTTTACTGTTGATTTATCACTCATTTCACTTCCTTGTGTGTGTACCGTCACACGGTTCGATGCATCATTACACAATGAAATAGTGTTCACACTGTTAGAGTAAATTTGCTCATGCGAGGTTAGCACACAAACTATGGCGTTTGGGTCCACCTAACATCTATCCCTTTTCAGAGATTTTGGCTCATGAGAATATCTGAGAGGTAAATGGAGAAATACAGACTTACAGGTTTACATTCTCCATTAACTTTGAACTATTTTGTTTTTGTGTCAGTGTCACAGTCACAACCTCTTATAACCACAATATGTTTAATGTGTTTTTATTATGAACAAAGTGAACAGTTAAACTAGATGGACAACATCATATACTGTAATTTATTACTTGTGATGCACAATCATTTAGCATGAGCTATTACAGTTTTAATATATATGAGATACTTTTATATTTATATTTTGAATTAGTTTTGATTTTTTAGATTCCCCATTTAGATTTAATGAATTGGTTGTCTGTTATTGTCATTTTAAGTAGTTTAGTAGTTAGTAGTAGATTTAGTTATCGAAGTACATCAAGTTAAACAGTCAGCATTTATTTTGTAATAATAATCGACCGGCTGCTCAATATCATTTACATGTAATTCTATAGAGGTGTTCAGTTTGTAATCCCTTTTTTGAGTAGTTGTTTTAGATTTAGATTTGTTTTATATGTTCACGTTTTATTGTGAGAGTACACATACTTGAGACTTTAATACGTACTTAAGTCAACTTGCTTTTTGAAATGTTAAAAAAAAATTAAGAAAATATTATATAGCTAAAGTGAAAGTCTAATGGTTTCTTAAAGGTGTGTGTGCAACTAACACAAAACAATGCAAAAACATGTTCGACATTTCGACTCTTGCAGTCACTTTCATTAAACTGGAAATGATTATGAAAAAAATGAACATTTCACTGACGTTTGATGACGTTTTTTTTCTGGAAATATTTGTAACCTGTTAAAGGTTAAATGTTGGTCAAAATGAGGCAATAATTGAATTTAATCAGGATGTTACTGGAACCGGGTCCGGACGTGTCTGCGCTTGTTCTTAATGGCAGTACTGACGTGGAAATGAATGTTTAATGTTGGGAAAAAGACTTCATTAACTGATGTAATGTGAAACTGGGTCACCCAGTGTGTGTTTTTCAGCATGCACTAACATGTCACACTGCATCAAGTGAAGATCAAGACATCATCCTCATATATTATGGATTTATAGCGTAAAAATGCTCTGTCATTTATGCGCCTTTTTACAAGATGTACTGTAATATGTCCCAGTTGTTCCCAGAATGTGTCTGCAAAGTTTCAGCATCCCCACAGATCACGCTGTAAATATGGAGGACCAAACCTATAAAAATTAAAAATGAATAAATAAATAAATACATGAAGAAATGTAAAAACAAAACAAAAATAAATGACTATTTATACTTTTATTTCCCTATTTATGTATAATTATATATTTTCCCTCATTAGCATACAGAGCAATAAATGTATAAATAAATAAATTAATAAATAAATAAATGTAGACGTAAATGCAAATATACATAAATGAAAGTGAAAATAAATAAAAGTGGAAATAAATAAATGTGGGAAAATATATAATTATACATAAATAGGGAAATAAAAGTATAAATAGTCATTTATTTTAGTTTTTTTTTTTACATTTCTTCGCGTATTTATTTATTTATTCATTTTTAATTTTTATAGGTTTGGTCCTCCATTATGTAAATACCCCTTTTTGGGTGGAAGGAAAAACATGCTGTTTTCATGAGTGTATCTTTAAATGCAAATGAGCTGCTGCTCCGCCCCCTTTCCAAAAGAGGGCGGAGCCTTTACAGCTCATGACACTCCGGCAACAACAAACAAAACATGTTTGTTTTTGATTATCATCTGTTTTGCGCTCACATGACAGTACAGTTTCATCATCATGAAAGTTTATATCTGCATGCGTCTAAACTTCTGATACGTGGTTTTCTGAGCGCACACATCCTAAACTTAATATACACACTTTATGCACATAAAGTCCCGTGAGCACTTTATTTAATTTCATTAATGTCTTTTAATCTTATTTCAGATTTATTTGTACAATATTATAGTATTTACTTATAGTTAGCTTTTAATTTTATATTTTCAGTTTTAGTTTTTGTAATTCTTATAAGTTTTTGTATTTGTTTTTAAAAATGTATTTAGATTTATTTCAGTTTTTTGTCATTTAAGTATTTCTACTTGTTGCCAAGGCGACAGTTCTAATTTTCAATTATGTTTAAGTTTTAAGTTTTTCATTGAATACCTATAATTGTTTTTTTCCCCTCTTTATTTCAGTTAATGAAAACAATTTTTAATGGTTTTAATTTTAGCTAATAACAACACTCACAAGGACCAAATGAGATCTCTCTGTCTTTTATGAGTTTTCTTTCCTATGCGCGTGTGTTTATGAGCCTGTGTGTGTTGTGTTATGAGTATGTGTGTGTGTATATAACAGTATTATCATGTCACGTTGAGATCAAAGTGTGGCAGCTGAAATCCGAACGACTGTTTTCCTGGAGACACATTCTGCCGTGTTATTTTATCTGTAAGAATGCTTTAACTCGTTGTAATCTATCATTCCTCTATTAGCTCTCATTCTCTGCTGCTTTATTTTCTCCTAAGG